GATTCATGCAATTGAAGGAAATTATTTTATCATTTTTGCATGATTATTTTCATACAATTTGCAGGCCAGGGCCTTTCTGCATCACTACAATTTATTCTTCAGAATGGTATTTTGACAAATGATAAATACATGGTTTAGCCCTAGAATGGAGTACATATAACACTGTGATTTATATGGCATGGGTCTTTTTTAACGCAACTTTTTTTTTGTTGGCAGTCAGTTTGACCCTGAAAACTATCATCCGGAACGACATTCTTAAGTGCACTAGTCAACATTTTAATGACAGTGTCCCACAACACTGGGGACACCCTGAGACTCCAGAAGACCAATGGGCGTCCACTGAAATCTCTTTGGAAACTGCAGTGAGGTAATTTGATTCTTCCTGAACTAACAGTTTGTTACTGTCACACTGGCAGTGGATGCAGGATGACAGGGTGAGCCACCAGCTACTGTCCCACAAAATGGTCAGTGGAAGGTTAACAGGTATCTCCCTAGCTGAAGTATCATACTGAATCCCTGCTGACCTCTGACCTTTCTGGAGAAGGTCAACCAAAAGCCAGAGATTCTATTCAGCAAGGGTTAATAATGGAGAGTGTTAATGTTGCATTGTAATGTGGTGGGAGATAAGCAAGTTAAGGAGCATCACATTTGCCTTCACATTGTTTAGTTAAAATTCAGGCTACATTAATATCTCTGTAATATTCATATGGGAAATCGATAACAAAAAGCGATGGGGATTTAACTGATTTATACCTATTATGATGGGATCGTTTAAAGAGTCCATAGTTGTTTTGTGATTCATTCAAATATGCTATCCTTGCAATTCTGTTAGGATTAATAGGGTACTTTATCTTGAAAGGAATTTGTTAACGTTACAGGTCTATCATTAACGCAACATAATACCTGACATGTTATTTTTAACGCCTGCCTTGCCTAACGTCACAAACAGAACACGTCCATAGTGTTTTACCTTTGGGGCTAATGGTTTCTAGCTGAAGTTGTAAGCTAATGTTAGTGAACAGTTAATGTTAGTTAGCTAGTTTGTTGTTGCTAGCTTGTTTCATGAGTAGCATAGACCATTCGCCGGCGGCTTTAAATTATATTAAATGAAATGCTTACCTCTATTTTGTCGACATTCCTGGCACAGCCGACCACCCTCATGCCCTGCTGGACCAGTGCCCGGGCCACCGCCGCTCCGATGCCCACCGAGGCTCCGGTCACCAGGGCCACTCTGCCTTTCCACCGCTCCATCTCCCCTGTCTACACCGGTACTGTACGCGAAAACAACAGCTCCTGTGCTGCTCCTCTGGCTGCTTGGTTCACACTGTCAACGTCGCAGATATTACTGTTATGTGCGATATCTTCAAAGTGAGGATGCAGCAGTTCGAGCCTCCTGTCTCTCCTGTCTGTGCAGCATCCAGGACAGCGGCGGGCAGTATGCCTGAGCCCGGATCCATGCGCTCCTCTGGATGAAATATGAAGGGCAGTGGCGTGAGTAAATGTTTGGTTCACTTCACCTCCCACTTTATTTTTCAGCCTGGGAGGCTTCTGCTGCCTGCTGGGGAAACACTGAAATAACTCACATGATACCTTCGAGTGTTTGGTCGGGGTATATTCCAAAACAACAAAAGTAAGATAACTTGTATTCAGAGGTCGGAGAAGAATTCCGAACTTGATCTTAACACAAAAAAACTAGCACTGCATTCAAATTATACTCAAGTAAAGTACAAAAGTACTGGCATCAAAATACACTTAAATTACCAAAAGTAAAAGTACAGATTGACCCATTTCAAAATCATATTTATTATAAATGATTATAATTATTGATGTTTCAAAAATGATTATCACAACTGGTAAAGGTGGAACTAATTTGAATTACTTAATTTACAGCTGGGTAGCATGTGAATGTAATCCAGGTGTAATTTAAGTAATTTTTCAGTATCATATTTGTTATAATTATTCCATATCAGCAAAGTAACTAAAGTACAAAGTATTATACAATGGAAATACTCAAGTAAAGTACCTCAGAATTGTACCTAAGTACAGTACACCACTGGTTGTATTAATAGTAATGTTATAAATATATATTTATATGGAAGTATTTACTTCTATTTACACCGTGGATCATAAAGATATACACATGATCTGAAGCCTCACATATTTTCAATCAGTGAGAGTAACGTTTATATTCGGAATTAGGAATAATTCAGGGCTCGACAGTAACGGTTGCCAGGTTGCCATTGGCAACCATTCAGAAAAAATGTCAACCACTTCTTGGCCTTTGGTTGTCATCAGTGGCAACCACTTTTTAACATGAAGAAATAAGGACAGCAAACAACTAAATGTGCACCCCAAAATAGATAAATGTTAATTATTTAGTTGTATTAAGAGTGATATTTAATTATTGTTGTGACCAGTCGGAACCTGAGACTTAAATTGCACGTGATTACGGAGCCAGAAAGCGATGCACGTTTACTCGCGTGCGCGGTGCGTACCCGATCCGTCCCCCAGCGGACCATTTTGAATCGGCCCTCAGCAAATTCAAAGAGTAATAGAATATGGCCCAAAAATGAAACTTTTGCTTGTCTTATATTGTACTTCTTAACTATAAATGTAAAAATATATTACACAGTAGTATTCATGTGTTAATAAGAACACTCTACAAATAAATTCAGTCAATTAAAGTTGGAAACATTTTCTAACAAATCTTAAATTGATGAGAAAAAAGCCCAATGACTTATTTACATAACAAGCATCGCCTTCCTATTTCTCCTTATTATAATCAATCTGAGGCTTCTGTGTTAAGGGATGAGCTGCCAACACCCACAAGCATCATTTACCTACATTTGATTGATTTTGATAACTTATAACTGAACTTGTGAGGCAATATAACTCTCAGTGGCCCAGCCCTTCTTATATTTGTATTTATGTGGCCCTCGGTGAAAAAGGTTTGGACACCCCTGGTGTATAGTCTACTGCAGGGGTCGGCAACCTTTTTCATATGAAGTGCAATTTTTTTTTTTAAATGTCAGCGTGCGAACGATCGAGAATTATCAACAGGGGGGGGGGAGGGGTTGAGG